TATATATATATATATATATATCTACATTGTCACAAATGACAGAATTTCCTTTTTTTTCCAGATCACTTATTTTTTCTAATTCTGTCTTCTCATTTCAATTTTAATAAACCTTCTATCCCAAAAGCCAGACTCTTCACAGTGCCTTCTGCGGCCCTGTGGGATCTTGTTCTTACTCCTCTCTCTGGCTTGTAGTCCACACCCTTCTCCCTTCTCACCTCTGTCTTTCTAAATGCTCCTCAAATACTCCAGGTTTACTCTTTGCATTCGTTGTGCCCCCTACAGCAGGTAGACATTGCAGAAATCATCATGTGGCTTTAGCAGGCAGCCTTTACTCTTTCATTTCCTTCTGAGCAGTCATTGTTTACCTAAATGTATTTGCTAAATGTCTTTTTCTATACTCAAGATTCTTTAGCCAGATTCTTAGTATGGTGACAACTCCTAATCTGCAATTTTTACCTTCCATATTTTCACCTTCCATGCCTATCCCTCTCCACGCCACTGGTTCGCTCTGAAGCACCCTTTTGTCCAGCATGTCCACACTGTATAAACCACTCATCCATTAGCTACACAGTTATCAGATTGACTGTCATGATTGAAGTAATCCTTATTTTACTTAGGAATAGCTCCAAATCACAAACTTTTATTGTGTTATATTTTTATAATTATTCTGTGTTCTGCTATTAGTTATTATTGGTTTCTTACTCTGCCTAATTTATAAACTAAACTCTATCATAGGCAAGTATCTATAGAAAAAAAAACATAACATATATAGGGTTCATTACTATCCATGATTTCAGGCATCCAGTGGAAGTCTTGGTACATATCTTTCAGGTTAAAGGGGATTACCTCTAAGCAACCCGATCAGTGTTTTTTCACAATCACATCCTTACCCTCCAAAAACACCACCTGACACCTAGTAGGCATTCAGTCTTTCAGACTGACTAGACTTATGGTGAACACTATAGAATGGGTTGTATAACAGAGAAATTGGAAGTAGGTGATTAGTTAGGGGTTGGTGCAGTAATATGATGTGATATATACCCGAACCAAGGTCCTGTCAATGGCAATGGAAGGCTCCTAAACAGATGCAGCACAATTGCATTTGAAAGTGAACATGTCCTGTACAGACACACATGTGCATACACATGCACCACACTTCCATGCCACGTATATGCATTACATTGAAATAGCAAGAACAAATACCATGGTGAATCTACTAAAGAATGGTTACTTTCTGCCTTACCAATCATTTCAAATTTTATTTTTATACTGAGTGATTTAGTATTTCTTAGTTTGTAAAAGTTGTTTGTATACCTAAGAAATCCAAACAGCATGCACTAAAGCCCACATGTGTGCATGTATCCCAATTATATTCATTTTTTCTCTTTTTTAATAAAAATGATAAAGTGAAGCCCCTAATAGGCATATCTCAATGATGTTGAACTGTCTATTGTACCAGAAGGCAAGATCAATGAGGATAATTGTGGAAAGTTTGTACATTATGACTCTGTCTTAACTCCCTAGAAACCTGTGGGAGATGCAAGGTTATGGGTTATAGAATTTGAAGAAACTTTTTAAATGATGTGTGCTTCAGATACTTGATACATAATCTTTTATCACAGTGTTGATCACTAGAAAAATTCCAGGGCCAGGAAATTGATATGAAAGTTGAAAGTATAGTCAGGGCATTTGGAATACAGCCGTAAACACTGACCCTCTGACCCAACAAGACTTTCTTATGCTGCACCTTGTTGGATTTGCAGGGAAGAGGAGATCCCTTTTTTTTCTTATTTTTTAAGTTTGTTCTAATTAGTTATACATGACACTAGAATACATTTTCACATCCCAAGATTTTCCTCTGGTAACAACCAAAAACCATCAATCAAATTCACACACCTAAAGGCCATCCACCATTTCAGCACAGGCACAGTTCATGAAACTCTGCATTTATCAAATGATTCACTTTTGAAAAAAACAATGATTCTACTGTCAGGGGAGTCTTTGTTTATGAAAGTGTTACCATGACATCAGATAAGTTTAAATATTTGTTTGCAAATAATTGGCTGCTTTTTAAGTAGAGCCCAATTCTCACTTTTCTGGTTGACTTGTACATTCTGTAACTATGTAGAGAAAATGGGATAAACATTGGTATCTGATGAAAAAAATGGAAGCTTGGAGAACTGAAACATCTGTCTAGCTCCACCACAGCCGCAAAAGGATAGGTGTCCTGCAAACACAGGGACCTGGGGCACTTGAATTCCCAAAGACTTGTTAAATTGAGTCATGGTATTGCGGAGAGGTTGGGAGACTTTGGGGAAATCCCAGAACCTCTCTTCATCCCAGTTGTCTTATCTATAAAATATTGTTGGAACTTGTTTGTTTAGTTATTCTTCTACATTTGGAAGTCTGGAGGCTAATAAAGAAAATTATAGCTGACATACTATGATTTCTTTCTCATGAAAACATTAGTTAGAAATAAAGTAACAGCAACAACAAAACCCAAGCTCATTCGTAAGTTTGAGGGAAATGGTTTTGATAAGAACCACTTAATCCATAATTAGCTTTGTAGGAATTACTGCTGTTCTGTGAGTGTATAGAATGGTGAGGCAGAGTTAAGTCTTAAGTTCAGATGTGTGCAGGAGCATCATCTGGGAGAGCCACTCATAGCTAAAGTACTAGAGCAGAGAATTATCATACCTTCACTCCACTTGGGCCAGGAGGTTGGCATTGTTCTTTTCTGTGTTGTGACTTATTTAATGATGTCCTCATCTGACATCAGATAGTGCCACCCTGGGGAGGATTAGCCATTGTGTTTTTATTTTCTTACATTCATTGTTAATCACACACTAGTGAGACAGTGTCATGAAACAGGTGTCAGAAACATTTAGACAGACTGATTCAAGTTCCAGGGTTGGGAGGTGTGACCTTGGGTTACTTGTTTAATTTTTTCCTAAATTTTAGTTTTATCATTGTCATAGCCAACACTATGTTTCCTATTGTAGTAGAGACTATTCTGAGCCTATTTTCTATATTAACTCATTGAGAATTTACAACAACCTAAATATAAATATAAGATATATATTACATATAAATATAATATAAAATAAATATAACATAAATATAAAACAGTTATATTCCCCATTTTACACATGAGGATTATGGGATGCAGAGAGCTTAAGTCATTCTGAAATCATGTATCTAATAAGTGCTAATTCTAAATTTTACACTAGTTCTTAAAATTCTCTACTCTCTAGTGCCTCTCACTATATTGGTCCAGGTAAACTATGCTGCAGTAACAAAAATCCCCAAATCTTAGTGGCCCAAACCACAAATGATTTTTTCATGTTTTATTCCATATTGGCTAGGACCTCCATTCAGCTTTGTCTTGCTTCTAGGACTGGGTTGACAAAGCAGCTGCTTTTCGGAGAGCTCACATTTATTATAGCAGAGAGAAAAAGAGCTGTAGAGAAGGGTGGAGTAAGGTTTCTTAACCTTGGCACTATTGGCATTTTACCACAAGTAAGTTTTTGTTTGGAGGCCTTATCCTAGCCACTATGTGATGTTTAGCAGCATCCCTGGCTTCTATCCACCACCCACTTTTACGCTGCTAGCAGGTAAGTCAATGTGGACATCTAAGATACTGTAAGGCAGAAGTTAGCAAATTAGGTCTGAATCCATCTGTCTGCCCATCTGTTTTTATAAATAAAGTTTTACTGGAATACAGCTACACCTGTTTGTTTCCCTATTTTCTATGGCTGCTTTCATGCCACACAGCCCAGCTGAGTAGTTGCAGCAGAGATTGACTGTGTGACTGGCAAAGCCTACATAATTACTATCTGACCCATTATCTGACTCATAAAGGTTGCCAACTCCTTGAAACTTCTGTTTTTAAATACAAAATCTTGGGCTGAGCAAAACTGAAAGGTGATGCATATGCTGCTTATATCTCTGTTTCTGGAATATTATAATGCACTTAGAGTGGCACTGTGATCATAATGGGCTTAGAGTTGTGATGATAGCTGTGTGAACTCAATTTCCACTTGTATCTCTGCCATCGTCATCTCAGGACTGTTAAAGGATTCCCATGCCTATCTCTGCTTATATAACCCAAACTTTGAAATTCCATTTTTAAACTTAAAACACCATTTTTTTGGCCTTGACATCCATACAGAAAAGTTCACAGATCATAAATGTACAACTCCAAGAGCTTTCACAAATGGAACGCACCCAAAAGTGTCCTCCTCCTTTTTACTCATTGCTCACAGGTATCTCCCTTCTAAGAGCAATGATACTAACTAACCTAAAAAACTCTTTATATTATGGACAACTTTCAAACACTCAAAAATCAGAGAGAACTATAAAATCAACCCCATTGTTTCTTTCACCAACCTAAAAACTATTAGTATTTTGTCAGTCATATTTCATGTACTCTTTTATCTTTCTTCTGTCTCTCCAAATGGATGGATGCATGAATGAATGGATGGATGGGTGGATGGGTGGATGGGTGGATGGATGGGTGGATGGGTGGATAGATAATGCTATAGAAACAATTATGTCTGTATCCTATCAATTGAATGCCCATTTTTATAAGCTTTAACTTATGTTTTCTTATGTGTAAATTAGTTATAATAATAGAACCCACATACTCTGTTATAGGGTTATTGAGGATTAGGTGAATTGGTATATCTAAAGCTTTTAAAAGAACAAATATCCAGTAAACATTAACTGTCCTCCTCCTCATCATCATATAATTATGGGGAACTATTACAAGTGTGTCACTGGCCTCTCTCCTCTCTAGGTCTATGCTGTGGTGGTAATTGCATCCGTGGTGGGATTTTGTCTGCTGGTGATGCTGTTTCTGCTTAAATTGGCAAGACACTCCAAGTTTGGCATGAAAGGTAAGAAGGGTTATATTTGTTTTACTTCTTATGTGGAATAATTTTTGGCTTATGACTAATGCTAATTACCACTAAAGAAGGAAGTGGCTAGATTTACAATGACTGGTTTTTAAGACTGAAAAAAAATAGCAACAAATATATGATACTACATATCAAGACTGAGCAAAACAATGTTGATTACTCAGAACTGCCTACTTTCCCATGAGGATGGTTGTCCCAGAAGATACAGAACTGGCTTCTTGAGTATTAAGTGGCTAATGATGAGCTTGGCCTATAAATACTGCTTGATTTTCCCTTTCGCTTACATAAGGGCAGGCGAGACCTGGTGGCTAGTGTAGTGTGGGCACGTGTGCTTTGTGAAGAAAGGTCTTTTCTGCTATACATTTGATTTCCACATCTTTAGTGGCATGCTTTTGGTCTTGTTTTGCTCTTCCAGATTCTAATTATTTGAAATTTAAACTATACTTTTGGAAGCAAAATAAGAACAGCTGTTGGCAGTACCTGGAGGATCTGTGAATGAATGGCTGGTTTTTTTTTCTATGTGGAAAATTCTCAGTGTTGGATTAAAAATTAGAGGCTATATTGCTTAAGAATAGATCATTAATTTCTTTTAGAGACTTGAAAATAAATTTTGGTGGAATGGGTAAATTTGTATCCATGTTTTTGTTATCTAAAATGTGAAGAGTTTTCATAATTTAAAAATGTTTTCTCTAAAGTTTGAACTTAAGCATTGGCCCTTAAGTTATTGTCGTATTTTGTGTCTGAGTGGGAAGGCTGTGAAGACTTACTGGTGTCTAGTTGTGTTGGAGAGCAGGTCTGATAGGTTTTCTTCATCCATGTGGCCAATTTGAATTACTATTAATGTTGCTTGTCTATTTGGAAGGGAATGTTTGAGTAGCAGTAAGTTGCCCAGCACACACTGGGCCCTAGGGTAGACCAGATATATTTACGACATTCCTCTTTTAGATTTGTTGGTGTCTGTGGTTATGGTTTTTAAATTAGAAATGAAAAGGAAGATTGTTGGTAAATTCAGACATAAAACAACAAAAATAAGAAAAAAAAAAAACTTCTGACTCTCCCTTAACCTGCTGACTCTTGACATTTCTTTAGGACAATAAAAGATCTTTTATTCTCTAATTATCAATAAAGCTTGGGAGAGGCACTATACTACAGTGATTTTAATTCATTCTACAACTGATTCTCAAATGTGACTGGGTTCTAGAAACTCCTATAGAACTTGGGGAGGCATGGATCACGGGAATTCCTCCAGAGATTCAGATTAATAGGGTCTGGATGGACCTGTGAGCTGGCATTTCTCGCCGTTTCTAGGGGATACCAGTACTGCTATTACCTAAGCATTCTTGTGTGTGTGTGTGTGTGTGTGTGTGTGTGTGTGTGTGTGTGTGTGTGTACTGGGAATCTAACCCATGGGTGCTTCACCACTGAGCTACATCCCCATCCCTTTTTGATTTTTTTTTTTTTTTAATTTTGAGACAGGGTCTTACTGAGTTGCTGAGTGTTTTGCCAAGTTGCTGAGGCTGGTCTCAGCAATCTTCCTGTCTCAGCCTCCTGCATTGCTGGTATTATAGGAATGCACCACTACACCTGGCCTCCTCGCATTCTCTGAGAATCACTTTTCCATGTCAAAAACATGGGCTACCAGATCTCTCTCTGAATGTGACAAGGTGTGGGGGAGGGAAACAAAACAAACTCACCCATTGCTTCCCAGACCTTTTGGAGTCCCAGGGTCTCGAGGCTGTCACTAGGGCTGGACTAGGCAGCTGTCCTTTACATGTTGGCTACCTACCATGGCAATTTGCGTTTCTCATTTTCATCAAGTGCTTTCTTTCCTTAGAAGCACTTGGAGTGCATGTCCCCAAGCATCGATTTTACTGGAGAGTATCACATTCTAGCAGTATAGAATTTCCTTTCTTGAAGATTTAGTTTGAGATCTTTCATCCCATGGCTTTTCAATGTGAAGATACATCCAGTTCCTTTTGGGAGCTCATTAAAGCTCTGGGAATCCCTGGAGCAAAATCAAGAAGCCCCTCCTCATCCTTGGTTTAGGACTACCCCTGACAGAAAAATTATATATCAACCTCCCACTCTCTGTAGAGCAGCTAGAGAAAAGGGAAAAGGTGGATTTTTGTTTTAAAGAAGATTGTATTTAGTATTGGGATCCTGCTGCTAGGACTGATATTGTATTTTACTTGGATAATTGGGGGGTGATTGCCACTAAAGCACCTATATTTTCTGAGTGTAACCTGAGGATATCCTTAATGAATTGGAAGACAGAGCTTGCTTAACCTTGACACAGAGTTAGCAAATGACTTCCTTCAGGCAGTAACTATTATATTGCATGTTTTTCTCTCTTTCCTAAACAAAAAATAAAGGTATTTTTAGAAATTTTGTCTCAGAGAGTCATATTCTTGTTTAGAATAGCTTATTTTTATATTTTTAGCTACATGTCGATCTGTGGCATGATATGAGCAAATTGGGCCTGATCTGAGGTTATTTTTTACAAGTTAGAAGCTGAGTTGATAATCTTTGGGGATCTAGAAATTAGGATGTGGCTTATACAGTCAGTGCAAATGAAAGTGCATAAAAAGTGGTATTTAAAAATTAATGTAACTTAATGTACTTTGAATGCTATTAGAGCAAGGATTAACACTGAAAAACATATGTATAAAAAGAAAAAAAAACATGTAAAAACACTACTGTAGTTCCTGAAATAACCAGGCAATATGTCAGTCATGATTTCTGAGTTAGAATAGAATAGATTCATAGCCTTGGCCTGAACTATAAATACTGTGAGAGGCCAGCAACTGATGTGCAGATGAGCTGTTCCAAATGTAACTCTTACCCTCATAAGTATCTTCATGGATATTCTAACCCCATTATTATTTCCTTATCCTGGAAACAGATTGGGATAGAGGATGACTGTCAGCCCACCCATAGGTGCTCTCAGCTCTTGGCTCATCCCTTAGTTATATTAATACATTTACTGTAGCTACAGTCAAATACCTGAAGGTGGATGCTTTATAGAAGAAAGAGCTTTATTTAGCTCACAGGTTTCCAGGCTGAGAGTTCAAACAACATATTGCCAGCTCTGGTGAAGAATCCCTGGCCTTGATACATCATGGCAAGAGCTTGTGTGAGAGAAGTCAGATGGTTACAAGCCAGAGAACAAGGAAGGACAGACTTGCTCTTTTATAACAGCTTTGTAGTTTTTCAGTCATTACTGAGTGGTTGGAGACCATCGGGATTTTTCTAAGTTTCTAAAAGGGAAAATCCTATTTATTTCCTATGATTCAAGATAATTAATGGCTGTAGACAAAAGGGCATCTTGTCCAGGCTTTGTTGCAGGTTATGTAGGTTGGGTATCACATGAGGTTTTGAACAATTATTACTGTTTCAGTTTAGAGGATTCACTTTGGCTTTCCATTTTGCATATGAACATATTTAATTTCTACCTCTTTACCTTTGTATAGATGACTTTGGACTGTGTGTCTTTGTCCAGTTCTGAAGTTGGCAGAAATTCCAGATAGTGGCTTATATCGTCCTGTTAAAATAGAATTTATCTTTCACTATTGATTGCTATAGTTTAAGCTTCTTATGGTTAATGTCCATCTACTAGGCTGCTAACCCTGTTTCAGTAAAGATGTCAAGGGGGAAGAACGTTCCTTGTCCATTTTTCTCTTGCTCATTTCTGTACCTCTACACTGTCCTGTTGATTTTTGGTGGATATTTAATTACCATAATTGTAGAAGCCCTGTATGAAACCTCTCTGTTAGTGTTGTGCCATCTGTACAGAGGTTATTCATATGTGTGTTTTATATGGAGGCATGAAATATGTAGCAGCTCTATCTAAATCTATATCTGTGCCAATACCTCTATATGTAAGCACATCATTTTATTCCTTTTCTTCTCAGGCTGCCTCTGATTTATTTTAATTTTAGTTTTCAGTGATACAGAGTTCAAGGAATGTTGCAGAGTAGCTTTATTGCCAAAGAATAGGCAACCAGGCCTTTGAATTCTCTCGATCCTGCTGTAACCAAGTCTTATGTTTAGCTCTCACATGGCTTCCTGGCTCCCTTTCTTCACTGAAGAAGTAGAAGTGCATATGAAGGGGAAATGCGAGCTTCTACAGCCATAAGGGCAGCCAAGTCTTCAAAGATTTCTTCATGCTGGGAGCCTTGCCTGTAGCATTAATGGTGTTCAAGGTTGAAGAAAATACAAAATACAGCAGCATGGAGGGCACTTGGCATGCATCACACTGGTAAAGAGTAGTTTTGGCTATCAGCATAGTGTTACTTGAATTTCTTGAACGGTAACCTACCGTTAAACCTGATGCATTTATTGTCTTTCTAGAGTAAAATATCTAAGGGACCCTCAGAAACTCCTACAGAAGGAACTAAAAAGGAAGCCTTTTCTCTCATTGTCTTAATAACCTACACAGATTTCCTCTGCAGCCTTCTACCTTGCTGGAAGAATTCTCTGTTTGCATTCCTTCCTTCCTGCCCTTTGAGCTTTAAAGATTTCCACTCAGTAATGACTGAAAAGCTACACTGCCTGAGGATGCAGATCCAGGTTTTCTTAACTCCAAACTCCAAGTCCACAATTTAAATTTCTGCTCTTAAAAATGGTCTTCTAGATGTCTTTTAACAACAACCAAAAATCTGGTTAGTTTTAAATAGTCATAAACATAGTGGGGCCAAAGCTAAAGAGGTTGAAGGTTAAAGCCTTTTATATGAGCTGAAAACAATTCTGGAAAGTTTAGGAGGTTGAATTTAACAGATATTTGGATCAACTTTTAAAGAGAGGAAAATATGACCAAAAGCCAGAAACACAGTTGTAGAAACATCTGTAAGGACAAACCGCTTTCCATATCCTTCCGGCTTATTTTTTTTTTTTAAATAACATTAACATTGAAAAGTTATAACACTAACAAATGAATGCATTCTTGTTTTTCAAAATTTCACATAGTTTAGAAATATATA